AAAAATCTAAACGTTAATAAAAATCATTGTTAGATCCTTTAAAACAGGATGAGATTTCAAGAAGATTTGATAGGTGAACTAGCGTTGTGCTGAGAAGTTTTCTTGTAACTCAATATCAGTGAATGTTCATTCAATCAGTGTATGATAAATCACTTTCTTTTAAACTTAGGAATTTATGTGTAGTCATAGAATAAAATAATTAAGAACTGATATAAGGCTTTTGACAAGGTTTTTGTACATGTAATAATGTACACTAGGTTTATTAATCATGTGGATTGAATATGTACACACTTTATGTTTCATTCAAAACATCTGCTCTGATGTTTGCCTAAATGTTTTCGTTTTCTTTCTCTCTCTCTCTCTCTCTTGTTCCCCCAGTTATCAGAAATACACATTTCTATAAAATTCATTAATTGATACTTGGTTTTGCACTCACTGGTTCAACGTAATACGAATGTTTGGATCATTAAAAAATGATACCAAATTAAAATTTGAAGGCACATTTTTACCCTTCTTTACTCACCCTGCCATTTTAATTAATAGTTATTCACTTATTAATTGATAATTAACTTATTCATAACATTTTGATTAGAATATTGGTGTAAAACCTTAAATTATACTCACTTAATCAGTTAGTTTTGCTTTTTAATTGCCATTAGTATAGATTATAGTGAATTGATTCATTAGATCAATTCAATCACATTTAACTAATTCTGTCAAACTGATATTTATATAAATTATATATGATCATATTACGTATTATATACTATACATGTTCAATGTGCAATTTAACAGTCTACAGTTGCACTGCATCTCCAACCAATATTACAAATTTATATTGTATTATCAGTTATTTTGAAAGGAAGTACAATATTTATAAATACAATCACTAGACATTGAATAATTACTGGATACAAAGTGAAAGTCACAAATTCATTGAAAATAATTAACAACCAGTGAACACCACTTTCACTCCGTTTTGTATGGGCCATTGGCGTCAACCAATCTCAATTTGAACTTTGTAACCAGAATCAAAGTGTGGTAAATATCTCATTGCTATTGTAAGATAATTACATTATTTTACTATTTGTCAGTTGCATTATCTTGTTATTGTACTTTATAAATTTTAAAAATATCCAACTGATTTTCAATTACGAAATCAACTTTAATTTTATGTTATCTAGGTGACTTGATTAACAGTTTGTTTTTATTCTCTATATTATCATTTATAACTTCAACTCCTTTTTATAACTTCATCTTCAACATATAAACATTAGCGAAACCACGAAACGGTAACTGTTGAAAACCTGAAGGTATTAGACGGCCGTTTCGTCTTAGTATGGGAATTCTCAGTAGTGTGTATTCATGACATTGCAGCTAGAAATCGAGTTCAATACTTTTGGTTTTATGTGCGAACGCTTAACCTCTATACCACTGACCCGGGATCCAGTTGTGTACAAGTTTAAATACTAATCACTCTTATCATGTTTAATGTTTTTTCTCTTTTCTTCTGTCGTTTCGAACTAAACTCCATTGAATACGGTATATGTAAAACTTCATGTTGTCCTGCAATTTTTTTTCGAGCTTAACATAAATTATTTCATAGCTATTAGTTTATGTACATACTAATGCATACATTTTCAGATTGATGTCATACAGTAGCTTGGTTGTAAGATTTTAATCTTAACCCATTCTTAATTGTGTATATTATCTTTTACAATTCATATAGATTTATTATTGCAATTGACCAGACAACATTCCTTTCATGATTCATCACATTCCAACTATTAAATGACATCCTTTGGATGAATTTTAAGATTCATCATTTAGCCTGATATCAAGAAACACTAAAAATCAAAAGGAGATACAACCAAAATAAAGAAGTAAACAATGACAGGTTAAAGGTCAACAATAACCAATCAACATCGAGGTCCATAGGACGAGCTGTGAGCTATATGTTAAGAAATTCGAACACTTCACTTCTACCTAATGTTTGTGTTGATGGTGTCGTTTGGAATAATGACGAAAGCCCCACGACCATACCATTCAGCTCAGGGAACAAAACTCAATCAAAATTGAGAAACACAATAGTTCGATCATTTCTCTAGATATTCATAATTTCATTAGAACAACAGTTGACACAAATCCTAATCTCTAATTATGGTTGATGAAATTCAGTTGTATGACAGAAACCATACATTAAGGTAAAAAGTAGCATAAGCCTTAAGAAAGTTCAAAGGTCGTGTTGTTTCGGGTCAATGAATGACTGTTTATGATGGGTTGTACAATTCTTTTTAGTGGGCTGTAAACAAAGCAAAAGTAGGACCGGTCTGATAATTATGATAAATTATGTCTGAATGTTTAAATACACTAGATATGTTAGTATTTTTGTTGTTGAAATGAATATAGGCCTAATGAGAAAACGATTCAACCAACCAGAAAATAAGCGTTCTTCAGAGTAAAATTATTTGAAAAAATGGTTGAGTTTGGTTTCACTGCTTTATGTATAACTGAAATTGTAAAATACTATTCTTCAGTTTTATATAATCCCCTTAAATTAGTTAACCAAGATTTCCGATCATACGGTAGGTGTTATAAATCTTGGATCTGTATTGTTTAAGTGTAGCATTGATTAGACAGAGTTCGAGACGTTAATGATTTGAAAAACACAATATCATCTACTGTTTAACTAATTTAGATGTAGAGGATTAAACTTCATGGTCAGATTTGATGTCTGAGAATGTAAAGTAACCTTGATTTGCAGTGAATTCATTTATAATTAGTTCTACGATTATATACATCATTTGCTGATTATTCATTCGTGTTAGTAAAAACAGATGTTCATTTGAATTTTCTATGGACTTCCATCAATAATGAACTCAAGTTTTGACTTAATAGAGAACAGTTATGCTGTAAGCGAATGATAATCGTATTGCAGGATCGAGATTCCATCTCGATTATAATATCCAATAATCTTAATATCGTGCAAGTTATATGTTGGTTTAGATGGAATGATGTACGAATGATATAAATGAAAGAAACCACCAATAAATAGACCAATGAGCTATATGAATATATTCTACAATTCTGTCGTATCTGTAGAAATTATTGGTTAATAAAGCCTGTTCAAACATATAGTACCCAAAAAAATATCAGTCAGTGTTAAACAACGAAGAATCCGGTATATATATCGATCCGTTTACCTTTCAATATCATATTAACAAAATGCAAAGGCACTGTCAAAACAACTTAGTAGCAGTAGCAGAATATACTCAACTTAGACAATATAATGCGATAATGAATTCGTTAGGTGAAAAATATAATTTTGACATACAAGATCTCAGTGAACATCAAAAGTAAATGAATTTAGGCCAATGAGACAGATTCTGAGCCATATCAATCAGTCTCTGAACACTGGTTACGATAGTTGCGTGGATTCCAACCACGTAATTTGAACTTATTAACACGGGTGACCCTATGAACTGATGTTTGAGACAAACGTTTGCAAAGTATCTGCTTCAAAATTCTACAAGTTAAAATGATCAGTACGTAATCTCATTCACCAAACCTACAACTTGACTAATTAACAGATATAATAATTCATTCTTACCACCAAACAAAAAAATCAATAATCTGTCTGAGTTTTAAGGTGGTTAACAAGTTCACAGCCTGATATACATTGTTTTGTAAAAGAATGTTATGATTATTAATTGGTAATAGTTTTGAACGAGATTTCATATGTGACATAAACATTCAACTTTCAATAATTATGAGGTCAAATCCACTCCACCTATACAAATTTAGGTCACAAGATGGTGTCATAAATTTGAGTGATAAATTTGGTAGTCACTCCCATTAAATAGGAATAACTACGGGCTTTAGAGATAGAGAATGTGTTTTATCTCGGGATGAGGATTTCGGTAAGTGGGTTAACTAAAAAATTACCGGAAGAATAATCTATTCTGAACATTAGTTAGTTGTAAACTACATATGCATTCATTAACCAGCGAAAAGAAACCTCAAGATTCTTCTACAATGTTGCAACAAAATACAAATCAGAGGAATTCCAGCTGATAATTAATCATGGGAATGATTATGGAATACGAAAACAAATTCTATCTCAGTAGATTGCTCGGATCTCAGAAATATGTATTACTAAACAGGGAATTACAAAGCTGTTATCACTACTCTAGTAGTGATAAACTGATGTGGCAGGAATGGTTTTTTTAGATAGAATATCAACATACTTCAGTAAATCGTCTAGGGTAAAACTAAATGAAAATGGACATGAGACAGAATTTTATAAAATAACCCTAGTTGCACTAATAACATTAGAATTAACTCACATGGCATTGTTTTACTTGAATCTTCCCATTGATAATTAGGACTGAAATTGATCAGTCTCTTATTGGCATATGTGCATACTGTGAGTATTGCCGCGATACTGCCTTAATTTACAAGCATTATAGGCTGACGAGTCCCATATAAGACGAGACGCGCGTCCTGGATTTCACTGCTAGCCACTATCCATCTTTGCTTATAACATTAGAATTGTTACGAATTTTTAGTGTGACTACGATTTTTATTTACGGTTGACACTAAACTTGTCTAGCAATACTAAACTATCGATACATTAATTGGTACTGTTATTTGACTAAAACACATAATATTATCTATTGTGAAACGCTACAATTACAGATAGGTGACACGAAACTGACTGAATGGATATTATCGAGACAAAATGACATCTCAAAGTAATTGAATATATTACCAACCGCTAAAATTCACACACCTAGTCAACTTAATTATCAAATACTTGACAAAACACCTGATTAAATTGAGGAGCATAACTCCCAGTTTTTTTATACATGAGAAACAAACTACACTCCCGATGAGTAAAAAACTAGATTTTCTGATGTTTCGTGACTCAGTGTATGCCATGTCTTCAGAGAATAAATAACCAAATCCAAATTGATGCAGGTTTAAATAGTACAGAAGAACAACGCAATAATATTATATTACAAATATACTTTTTTTTTATTTAAAACAATCCACCCAATACTCAATTTATTCGGAATTATCAAGTCAAACCTTCGTAATGGTAACTACAAACTACAGCCCCGTTCACTTTTCGAAAAACAAATGTATAATCCCCAACAGATTCCTTTATTTTTATTAATTGTCACAAAGGTGTAGAAAAAATTTTCAGGATCGCAATCATTTCAGTACAATTAAATTGTTGGTTTTAAAGGAAGGTAGATACGAATAATAATAATAATAATAGTAATTAATCGTAAGAATCATAAAAACAATAAAAACAGTACTATATGGTAATAGTAGTATAAAAATTAGTTATAAAAAGAAGGAATAAACACAATTTCAAAACAGGTCAATCAAAATCCAGATCTTCACGTACATACTGTTCAAAAACTTGTTGATAAAAGTATTACTAATAGTAATAGTAATAATAATAAAAGCTAAAAAAAAACCATTATAAAAGTAAGGCATTTGAAATCAGTATTAGTAGGCATAAAAGTGGTACAGTTTCGTTGATATAAAAATTAAACCATTACAAAAGTGGGAAGAAATTCTAAACTGTGCGAACGACAACCATAACAAGAATTAAAAATAGATTTGTTATATCTGGAAAAAACCAGTTTTGTGTTGTACACCTCCATGCTAAGCTTTTACCTAGTAAGATACTATTACTATTGTTTGTAATACTGCTATAATGCAACTATATACTCATGAGCAATAGTTATGGATTAAAAAATACACATATATACGAGAGAACATAAGAATAACTTTACACATAATTTGATGGTATACCTGATCCATCTTTCAATGGTTCTTTCTCTAAACTTTTCTGTGGGGTATTATCCACTGAATAAACATTATCTATGTAATGTTCATATAAAGCCATAACAATTTCAGATGTGATCACATCACCAGCATTGATGGCCAGCATACGTACTAAAAATACACCATCTCGGCGAAGGTAATCATCAATGAATTCATCTAAATCAGCGCGCGTAATCTCCTGACCAGTTCTTGAACGTATTCCTTTAATACGTAAGAAACGTTTGATAAAATCTTTACGTCTTGGTGCGATAATCATTCTTACTAGCCATAATACTAAACTAAATATACTGGCAGCTATAAGGAAACAGATCCAAAACCAGAAAAATATATAAATTTTCTCGTTTAACATATTTATAGGTAGTGCACATTGTGCCGTATAAGCATTTTCAGCACCGACTAAACGAATACCTGGGACACGACAATAAGCTACACGTGGGAATAGAATCGTCTCTGGCCAATCACGTCCAGCACGTATATGGTTGGCAACAGTTAAACCGAATCCGAAACCGTCTAAATCTTCATTTTCTTGATTCGACATCGCTGCAACTATGCGGAAAGAATAAAATCAAAAAGATTTATTATTAATAAATCACATTGTAATTATGATATAAATATCAAGACTGCGTCAACGCCTAAACTAATGATGGAGATTGAAGTACTTGAGCTTGTCGATTACTTCACTTATTTTGAAGTTGTCAGCTCTAACAGGTTAGTATCTGATGAAACATTCGAATGGATTTACAAATCCCAGTTGAGGTTTGTCAACTTGAGTTAACTATGGCCTAGGAGAATTGCTCGTCTGCCGACCAAAAGGGTGAGGATACTACGAGGCTATCCCCTTTGTACAACTTTCTAGTTATGCAGCATGGTTAGTGAAAGTAAAAGACATGCATGGGCTGCAGGTTTTTAATCATAAATGTTTTTGAAATATTGTTTGGTACAGTGGGACGATAAACTGGGCAGTGCTGATGTTGGTCATTTGTCCACAAAGTTATTGACTGTCGGTCTGAGCCATACTAGTAGACGCAGACTACGTGGTAGAAATCCGCACGATAACCGTGACCAGTGGTTGGAGAATGTATATGATATGGCCCAGAACCGGTCCCAACAACACTTGTATTTACTTCATATCTTAATGCAGATCTTGAGTTACGGTATTCTGTCTTTTCAAACCATATTCTCAATACATCGTTTATTGCGTAATTATCACTTACTAGATTATCTCGATTTTATTTATTTTTTTGAGCATATAAATATTGGTACAAGGGGGCACCAGATATAATTATTTTGATTCTTTTTAGTATTCATCTTGTCAATCCCAATTCTTCACACTAATGTAGGACTGACACACATTTTTCTCAAGTTTTATGTCGATTGTGACTGATTGAAAATGTTGAGTGAAATAATGCGGGATTAAGGTCTGTGAAAAAAGATTTGTGGTGGCGATTAGTTTAAGTGTTAGGTGGTATTCCTCATGAGTTGTGACATCAGTTGGAGTGTCACTAACCTGACCCAAAATTTAAAATTAGTAAGATGGTAGAGGTTCATAATCTCAATATTAGAGATTCCGCTTTGGGTGCGATAAACAGAGCGGGGTTGAGATCAGATAATTTCAACTTAATGAGGAATTATCAGTGTGGGATTGTGGAGATTGCTAAGTTTTTGATTGAGATCATGAATCGATGAATGCTAGACCACCATTGAAAACCTAGAAGCACTGGACAGCCGTTTCGTCCTAGGATGGGACTCCCTAGCAGTTAGCATCAACGATCCTGTACGCGGGATTCGGGGCCAGAACCTTCAGTCTCGCGCGCGAACGCTTAACTTCTAGACCACTGAGCTGGCATCTAACGGCGTTAATGCCTAACTTCAACCAATCCACGAGATCGCGCGACCATCTTCCATCGTCTGAGGTAGATACTTGTCTACCTGAGATGGATTAGCTCCACTGGTCACGGTTTCTCACTAGAACTCCAAGAATTACCTCACGAAGTCAGTCACTAGTGAGCACATGGTAATTATCAGTGTGGGGAATTACCCACATTAGTCAATGCTGAAAATTTACTCATTGGATGCGTAAGTATGAATATTGTGCTTCACTATATCGACTGAAGAAGTTTCTACTGAACTCGACAAAACATAAAATGAATCCGAAGTGGTATTTTTTAGCTCCCGACTTCTCTGTTTGAAATTAAAGTAACTTTCATTAATCTTATGCCCATGGGTTAATAGACAACTGAGCATGAAGAAACTGTATGTGTTGCATAAATGAACAGACAAGGAATAGGGGAGTGTAGTAAAAAAATTAAGTGGACAGGAGTGCTGTCACCTGGGGTGTTGTTTAGTTGCTACCGATATGAGCAATCTTCCTATACACGATTCTAACCGAGCGCTCAAGTGGAAGGACGTTTATTGACGAAATGTGACTAGTTAAGTGTATCAAAGGATAGTATACAATAGGAGATATAGTTCAATTAAAGACACATCTGAGAATCCTCTTCAAGTTAAGGGAGTCCCTCCCGCATTTATGGAAAATGTAAAAGGAAATTAGAACAATATCGTCATTAGCATATATTCTCAGCCATGTTTGACTAACATTTTAAGCCACTGGCTTGAAACCTATCAAGGACCTCAACCTCAGTCGCGATGAACTGGCGAATACTAGTACTACAAGACCTTCTTTCATGATGAGATTGTTTCTACATTTTCGGATTATTGCATCTAGAAAAGTATGAACAGTTGATAGGCACAGTTAAGTACTGTGAATTTAATGTAAACATGTAATTTTAGTTAGACGATATTTAGAAATGTAAAAAACAATTTAATTTTCTTACTTGGAATATGAACTCAAAAAAGAAATCATGAATGACCATTTACCTGCCGAGCTAGCTTCGTATGGTTTCCCTAATTGCATACTTTTCTGTCCCGCGCTTCCATCAGCATAAAAACCAAGGAAACGTTGAATCAAATATACTTGCATAATTGCATTGATAATTGTTATGAGTTTAACACATAAATATGAAAATACCAGACATGTTCCAAGCCGTTTACTAACAACACATATACCACACATGTCATATGCACGTCTAGTTAAATTCATACGACGACCCTATATTAAAAAAAAGAAACGGGAGAGGTTGTAAAGCTGAGTCAGAATACCTGGGCAAGATAATTTATAATCCGCCTATTCATCAGAAGAAATAATGGACCTTATAATATTTAAGGCAAAAGACCAAAAGAGCTTATCAATTGACTGTCAAGTTCGAATTGTTTGAACAATGATTGAGGATCTTAAATTTATTTTAATTTAGGTAAACATTTTCGTATACATTATAGAATATAAGAAGTTTTGGGTTTAAATCTTATACAAACGAGAAGAAAGGTAATTAAATCTTAAAATAAGCAACTCAGTAGTAAATACGATCGTATGCTAACGAACACGTCATAGGTATATCACAATAACTTTCAGTACATGGTACCAATAATTTTATTCTAAAAGAAGGATAACCCCATGGACAACAAACTATTTCATAGTTCAGAGCTTTATTTTTCCTTTGCTCTATTTCAGCCGTTGGCATCATTAGATGTGCATTGTGATTAACAAAAGCTGTTGTGTAAAAATGGTCAGTTAGGTTGTTTAGGCAGAAAATGTAGTGGTGCTACTGTTCAACTTCTAACCGCTATGTCGTAGGTACGATCTCTACCCTACCTAAATTATTTTGGGTAGCTGACTAGTATCAACGGTCCACAAATATGAAAATGAAACTCAAAGTTGAGTATAGAAATTTGTAGTTCGTTAATGAGTAACGGTTGTACTATTCAACTAGTCGGTCATGAACACTGTGGAACCTGGCACATATATATTTCATTTCCAGTTGTTACTAATTACACTATGCATATTGCACGTTAAGTTATGACACTGGCAACACTTTCTATCCGAAAAACTCTCATTTCTAGTTTTGATGAGCAAAAACGGTTAGATGCAAATAAATTGTGTATCCGTCAGTAAAATTCGAGGGGAAATATACGTTTAGCTGATATGTGTACCTGTTAAAATAGAAGGCAACTAAGCACCCTATGTACTCTTAACAAATATTGAAGTGTAACCTAGAACTTTCACGTTTTGTTGCAAATTAAAAACCAACAAATATTATGATTTGTGATACATTTCTCAAATCGAACACATTATTGAAATCTTTGATTACCCGAAACAAATGTTTTTGTACATTAATACAAATAAATTAGTGAACATATATTTATCCCAATGGAGTCTTAGCTTTAATGTACAGGTTAGTACTGATAACATCCAACCACTCAGGCCAATGTAAACCGTAGGATTTCAAATTCGAATAGCTTAAATATTCAGTATCACGTCCCTTGGACGAATAGTTAAATAAAACTGCAACAAAGTTAATATACAAATATTTGGCAATGTTTAAATGGATGAATCGAAGTAATCGGCCAAATTTTCTAGATTACAAAGTGAAATTTAGAAACAAGCATCTATATAGTTGGTCAGTAACAACGTAGAACTTCGTACGTACATACATCAGTTCGAGTTGCCATATCACATTGGAACACATATACAGTTCTCGATTCAAATCCCGTAGTGGTAGAGGTAGTAAAAGTATAAGCAGTAATCGGATACATTAGGGTTTGAAGATGTTATTCAAGGAGTATAATCCAGTGAAATAAATTTGGAAAGAAAATAAGGGACATGAAGAGTTCAGAAGAATAGAATTTGGGAGAACACAAAGAGTGGATGCACCTGCGCCATTGCAAACGATTTTGAGCCATGTCATTCAGGGTCTCTAACCATCGGTTGCTATCATCTCCCGGTCCCCAACCAGGTAATCTACACCTACCGACATGACTCAGACCACTTGTCAGTGACTTCATGGACTTGTGCCATGTTTTGGTCTGCCCGCCTCCAGCTTTCTTCCAACCTACTCCTACACCATAAAACATCGCACGTCGGGGCAGTCAGTGGTTGGGCATACGTAACACATGTCCCAGCCATCTCAACTGATGAAGTTTCACCACTTCATCTATTCATTTGCCATCAGCGTCTATCAAACAGAATTATGTCATCGGCATAGTTTAAGTCAACAAGTGAATCTCCCGGTAGAAGTTCAACTCCTGTAAATGTAGATGAGGAAAGTGTTAACTCTAAAAGCACGTCAACGACAAAGTTAAACAAGAATCGATAGAGTGAACAGCCCTGACGAACACCACTTGAGGTGATCAATTCTGATGACAGTTTGCCATAAGCTCTCATTCGACCGGTTGTGTTCGAGTAGAGAGCCTTTACAAGGTTAATGTACTTCTTTGGTACTCCTTTCAGTGACAAACACTGCCGTAGAAACTTACGACCAACAGAATCGAATGCTGCCTTAAGGTCGAGAAATACTACCATTGTGGGGCGTCTGAATGTGTGTCTGTGTTCTAGAACCTGACGTATTGTGAATATCTGATCCATACAACCACGTCCAGGTCGAAAATCAGCCTGGTTTTCTCTAGTCTGCTCTTCACGAGCTTTGGTTAGACGTCGAAGCATTAGTGAAGCTAATTCCTCTGTGATTGTCACAAGAGGAGCTTTGTCCTTTCTTATAGACTGGCACAATCAGTGATTGAGACCGGTGGGATGGGATTATGTCCAGTTCCCAGATTCTACCTAAGACATCAGTCAATCTCGCTGCTAATACTGGACCACCATCCTTAAAAATCTCAGGGGTAAACCTTTCAGGGCTTGCTGCTCTCCCCGCTTCAGATTTCTTATAGCTTTTTCAACTTCGTAGAGTTGGAGGACTTACATCAACTTGCCATTCAGGTCGACTGGATATCGTGGGAAGCCGAGATGTGGCCGAAGGCCAGTTGAACTGATCCCTTATGTGTTCTGCCCTTCGATCCAATCTCCTGGATTGGGAATGAATAATATGTCCATCTTTTCCCGAGATAGCTTCGTTAACAGCTGGTTTCCTAATACCAGTTTCCTTAACAAGTGTAAACAGTTGTCTGCTGTTACCAATTGCCACTGCCTTTTCCATCTCGCTTGTTTTCGTCATCTCTATAAGATAATTTAGTGACGGGATGTTGTGTGAAAACAATATTTAGTAAAATTGTGGTACTTCAGTATTTGAGTAAGTTTCTCTTATATATATGTGTGTGACTCACTGAATAAATGAACTTGGAAACCTGTAAGTTAACAGCTCTCAAAATATGTAACACTTTGTCCAAATAAATAGGCAACAATATGACCTGGTGATGTTACTACTTAGAAATAAACACTAGAAACAATGAGCGATTTCATATCACCATATAAACTAGTCAATCAACTTACATGGCGACAATCCTTATGACCATCAATCATATCTTCCAAAAATTCAGCCACACGTTTAACTTGGCTCTTACGAGAACCACGTTCAGAAATTGCGGCATCAGCAGCGGCTTTCACAAGAGCAAACAAATCTCCACCGGATCTATGGGCGCATACAGCCTGCCATGCAATATGTGGAATGTAGAAAAATATACATTGCAACCCGAGAACAAATGGGACCCACTGGTAATAAGCTGTAGAATTAAACACAGTAAAACATTTTTTTCTGTACGATGACAACAACAGAGCAATTGTATTGCATTTATTTATTTAAGCACAAACATTGGCACAAAGAGGTAGCAAACAGATATACTCTGGTATACTGCTCGGGTGCCCAAACCGAAGCAGGCAATTGTACTACATTATTATTAGAGAAACGGTTACTTTTTGCCGTTTTCGTTTTGTCGAGTAAGGTGAGAAAGAGAATTCTGCAAATTAAAATGACTTCATTATTACCTTAAATTACGAAAACAGTTTGAATACTAATTGCTGAATCGAATTAATGAATTGTTAAGAGATGAAACTTTTTGACTTCCTAAATCCCATAAATTCATTGCTCAACACTGTAGATCACTAATTATTCAGTAAGCGGTTAATAAATAAATTTACTGTACAGTTTAATATTAAACGCTAAAAAGACTATATGGGAGGATTGATATTTTCTAATTGCTCATATTAAGGAATGCTGTCGATCAATCTTAATTAGTATAGGTATATTCGGAGCGATACGTCTTGACTTTATTTTTATTTAGTCATATGTTTTTATGATCTCTAATTTATGGTGAGCAATGAATAATGCATTGGAGTTGAAAGAGAGAAGTTATGGTTTGAAGTCTCGGTGCTGACGTCAAAATTAAGATAAAAGGACATTCAGTTGACGAGTTTCAAACGGGGTGAAATGAGTTTTTTCAGACTCCACTATCAAGTAAAATCTAAATATATGTTGAAATAATTAAGGTTATGTTAAACTAATATGCAAATCACCTTGATAAAGACATAATCAATCGGATTGTACGATTAATGGATGATATAACGGAATATTTAATGATGTAGACGTGTAAATGCACATAGAGAAGAGACAATATGATAAACAACGACCAATTTATTCAACGAAGTACAACAATTTCAAAAAAAGATTTACGTAAAAATCTATGCATTTAATTCAATTTCACATTTTATACCTGTGCACATATGAGATAGAGAGGAAGTGTGGAAACAAGACTAACAAATTACACAATTTTCTGCACATATGTATGCATCACAAATTGTTTACATTTGAATCGTAGATCAAATATCTGATCAATACGCTTATGTACACAAAAGGTTGACAGAGAACGAAAACTAGAGCAAAGAAATGAACCATTTTTGGTGGGATGTCGCCGATGAAGTAAATTACGTTATTACACTTCTGTAGCAAAATATTTGCAGTTGAAAAGGGATCACGATACTTATCTCGAATAAATATCTGAAGATCGATTGTGATTGATAAGGATTTATTTCTTTATATGAAGAGGAAACGACAATGTGAAGGCAAAATCAAAGCGAATAATTGCCTTTCATGTGAAGATTGTATGTAGCATGTACAAAGATGAAAACTTCTAGTCTATTTTCGTTCGTTTATAACAAATGTAGACAAACCATTTAGTCATTTACTAGATAACATACATGTTGGTAAGATATAATCCTGGCTATAGTGATCGTTGTCTCATAGCTATACCTGGCTGACTAGGGAATTTCGCTCATGAAAAGAATTCAGATCATTTAGAAATGTCAACAATGCTATTAAAACTAGTATACGCAGACAGGTTTTATTAATTTTCTAATGAAATATTTCTGATTATAGACAAGATTTTTAACTGAAAATTGAAGTATAAACTCATTTAAGGTTGGCCCAATAATAGTTACACTGTCTGGTGCTTTCTAGTTTACAGCAATATCGCAACTAAGGTCGATTAATGTCAACTAAGACTGCTTCAGATAGATAGTCATCATAGGAAAACCCTAAGAGCACACTCATAGTTAGAATAAGGATGTGTTCATTACACAAGACGCTCATGTAGAACAGAAAATGAGTAGTACATATCAACTTGCTTTGAAAACAATCAAGAACATTTTTTTAACGTTCGGTTAATACCATGGAATGCCATCCGGCTATAAGAAATATATTACGATCTAATCAATTTGTCTATTTTCTTTAGGAATAATCATTTACAAGCAAAGAAAGTGTCACAAATAAAAACTAATCAATAGTTCTAAGACAACATTGTACATACAAACCTTTTGTGTTTCGTATTTATAGTTACACCCACCTCATAAACATACAGCACATAACAATTTAATTGGTTAATACTAGACAAGAAATATTTTAAAAAACATTATTGTCCATTGTACAATATATCCACGCATCTCAAGTAACTTTATGCAAATAATGAATGATTGTTCTGAACACATAATGATGAAAAGTTATCATGAAAGTAGATCAATAATTTGATATAAGCTGTTCTAAGGTGATGATAGGGTATTCTAAACAAGTTACAATATTAATGCATAACAGCATAATTATTAAAAAGGTTAAGATATTTGTAATTGAAAGTAATGAATGAAGAAAAATACACAAAAAGAATGATCAACTTGAGAGTGCACTACTAGGTGTTCATCAGTCACTGACTGACGTCAATAAGTTAGGACTCAAAGAAAAATATACTTCAGAATGGGTTTTGTGGAGATTTTAGAAATTTCACAAGTTGAAATCATGGATTGGTTGAAGTTAGACATTAACACCGTTGGATGTCGGCTCAGTGGTCTAATGGTTAAGTGCTCGCGCGCGAAGCCTGTAGGTCCTGGGTTCGAGCCCCGGGTGGTGCGGGGTCGTGGATGCGCACTGCTGAGGAGTCCCATACTAGGACGAAACGGCCGTCCAGTGCTTCCAGGTTTTCAATGGTGGTCTAGCTTCAACTGACTCATGATTTCAACTTGTGTAAAATATACTTGTTGAAAAAATGGTCAGTGGAGAGTTTTGATGTAGATTATATGATGCACTCGACTTAGATGGTACTTTTCAGTCAGCCAGTCAGTATCAACGTAGAACTTCGTACGTACGTACATCAGTTCGAGTTGCCACACCACATTAGCACAGAGATGCAGTGGTCAATTCAAATCCCGTAGTGGTAGAGGTAATAAGAGTATAAGCAGTAATCAGGAAGATTACTGTTTGGAGATAATATTTAAAGAGTATAATACAGTGAAATAAACTTGAAGAGAAAAAAAGAGACAAGGAGGAATAAGATCAAAATTTGGGAGAACACAAAGAGTGGATGCACCTGCACACACCATTCCAAAGATTTTGAGCCATGTCATTCAGAGTCTCTAACCATCGGTTGCTATCATCTCCCGGTCCCCAACCAGGTAATCTACACCTACCGACATGACTCAGACCACTTGTCAGTGACTTCATGGACTTGTGCCATGTTTTGGTCTGCCCGCCTCCAGCTTTCTTCCAACCTACTCCTACACCATAAAACATCGCACGTCGGGGCAGTCAGTGGTTGGGCATACGTAACACATGTCCCAGCCATCTCAACTGATGAAGTTTCACTACTTCATCAATTGATTTGCCATCCTTACCTAGTACCCGTTTCCTAACAACTGCATTACTTACTCGATGGTCCCAGGATATACTTCTCAATAAACTCTGTTGGGATGCCAGGTACGTGAAGGACTGACAACAAACTTATGCATGTTTATTAGTAGGACTATACAAGATCTAGCAATCAATGACATAAAATGTCTCTTTTAAATCGAAGACTTCAAGTTAACTTTTTCAAAGTCAACCAGGTAAAAATTCTATTTTTATTATATACTTAGATTGATGTACATTTATGCTCAAGAAGAGAGGTTGTCATCTGATTGAACGAAAAATAAGCAAGCATCAAGAAAATTCCTTCAGTACAAAAACAGTATGATTTCAATATGTCTCTCTGAATTAGATGAAATATAAATTATAATCTGACAAAATGTAAGAATCAGAAAATAATTGCAAGCTTACTTATACGTCTTAAACGATCATACTCATCCCATTCTTCACGATTAACCGGTAATTTTTCATCTGGCCTCAGAGGGATTGTACCATGTACCCAACAATAATCCGTAAGGTAAGCATTAAAATTGTCGCCCGTAGGCTTCACCGGAACATAACATGAGATTGAACTCATAAAATATTGTTTTGTTGACACAATTATACATGATAAGAGGAATAAAACAACTGTGAATAAGTTAAGGCGATCTGAAAAATCCTCAACCGCTACACGATTCCCATAGCTGTATTTAGAGAAAAATTCAATGAAATCCTTCGCTACCATACTCAGCCTACAACGCTAAACATTAATTAAATTGTGAGTCATTCATGTAGACCCTATTGTTATTATAGATTGATGTGTGACCTTCGTGTACATGTCTAAAACAACACAGATTAAACCTAATAATCTGATTGGTTCAGAGTAGGATGAATTATATATATATATATGCTGATAGATATATTTACACCCCCACAAAGATATGAGTTTTAGACTGGAATAAATTTTTAAACAAAGATACACAGAATTTGCAATTTTGTTTACTAAATAACCAATTAAAAATAAGATTTTATTTAAGCATAGAGACAGTTTTGATGTGTTTAGCTCGATGGCTACAATGTGTATATTGACAGTAATTGTATTTGTAAATATGAATATTAGAAAATACATTTGGTAGATAAACGATAAATGAAACGATATTTAATTGATATCATGCTTGGAGCTAAATAACGGATGGGGTTAGATACTTCTTAAAAAAGATAAAAACTCCAATACTACTGTCTTTTTAACAAACAATTTAACTGTACTAAAGATATTATTATATAAGCGAAACTTCCTTCAGAAGCATAGAATTATAATATACATTTAGTTAATAATAATTAGAGTAGTTTTCAAACTATAATCACACTTTTTTTGTCACAAGACTCAAACAATCAAATAATAAAACTCAGTAGTAAAATCATATAGAACAGATGATTAATAGATTATTAAGTTTAATGGTCCATGCGCTAAATTGTGGCCAATGTCTTCATGTCTGTGAAGAACTTTACAAAACCAAGAGCATTTTCTCATCAAGGATTATAATCTACCGAAAAACCATTTAAAATACAAAAGTACCTAAAAGTCAGTTCAGTTTTATCATAGAATCAAGTCATTCACACATATACCACTAATGTTAAAGTCTTGAAATAACCAAAATATCATTAAGCTATTCTAAACACAGTAACTGATAATAAGCTAAGATGGAATAGTGGCTAGCAAAGGAATCTAGGACGAGCTTTTCGTTCTTTTTGAGACTCCATCTTTGCTTATAGTGCCTGTAAATTAAGGCAATGTCGAGGCAATACTCACAGTATGCACATATGTCAATAACAGACTGATCAATTTCAGTCCTAAACATCGGTGGGAAGATTCAATTAAAAACAGTAACTGATGTTTTTCAACTTCAGTTAAAAAACAACATGTATAGAATGGAAGCCTGAGATGGTTTAAAAGATTTGCAGCTCAGGTGGATGATTATGATGGAGTTTTTTTCTCTGAGCTGGATGGTTTGGACGACCAAAAACTATCAGAATGGAAGCCTCAATCGAAGAATAAAGACCAATGGACTCGATATACAGAGATGATTGATATACTGCTTTGATTGCGATACTACTGGGTCAGATTTGATACTTCGTGTATCTGTGGATAAATAATGCTGACAACTAGCAAAGTAAACCGAAACAATAATAAACATTTTCTCTGTACTCAGTCTTCAATCTGTTGGAGTCAGTACTCTGTAAAAACGGGAAACGTTATTATGTTACTTGAATAGTATTAAGTAGTTAGAAAACATAATGAAAAATTATCAAACATAAACTTTCACGCATTAGGATTGCTTAGAAGCGGTGGTACGAAAGGATATGTTTAACCAAATTGATTACAGATAAAAGTAATCGTAATGTTTTTACCCACATTAGGAATTTAACTGCTCTAAACCATCCTTTTGTTCTAGCTGAGCTTTGAATAAACTTATTCCTTCTTTCATTTTTGTATTTCTACTTATTGTTCAATATCTGTCTTTTGATTCTTACATATCTACTATAATATTAACCTTTCATCAAAACATATTGTGAACTCTTTTTATAAATTATGTAATGTAACAACTGTTTAACTGAGTTGTTCCAATAATTACTTTGATTATTATAATACCCTTTCTTCCAAATATTCAACATTAGTTTATAATCATTGTGACATTACACAATTATTATATTATTCAACTACTCGGAAAATATTTCATTGTTATAAATCAAATATATATATATATTCATGTACAGACATAATGAAAAACTAGCTGGAAGGGAATTCATGCTATCTGTTCGTTCTTCTGACTAAATGTCAAAATGGGAATTTTCACAAAGATTTAACTTAATTAACGAAACTTAGTAACCAGGTTCAGTTTATTTATTTGACTTTTACTCATAATTTTTATAGGGTAGTGTGAAGTTATCCAGCTACTTATACTTAAAAAGATGAAATAAATTCAAAACTGAGACCCGATTGTTAGAACTTAAATTATTTCAATGTGAAGTCACTTCTACAAAAGGTAGATCATTAACAAAATTCAAATTTTCACAGAGATACTGTTAATTTCTATCGATAAGAGTGAATCAATTGATATTTTTTGAGTTAAACACCCACTATATATGGTTCATTTAGTTCTGGACTGGTTATTACTCTGACCCTTTTCATTTCACCATCAATCATGAAATTGCACCAGTTTTGTGAACATGACTAACCCCTGTTATTGATTCGTTTTGTTGTGTTCCTGATACTATTTGGTAAGTATGTATTTGTTGTTCTCTTTGTATTTTTGCACTAATTGTATTAAAATACATTTTAAAAACAGATTATAATTGTTGGCTACATACATAGTTACCTGTTTTAACTATAGTCCTCCTAAAACTTTGTGTGAGACAGAAGAAAGACTTATTTCGCAAATTCATCTGTAGGTAATTACTTCATACAGATACTTCATTGTTTGAGTAGTATAAAGTGTTAGCCGTCCAGATAAAGTGGCAGTTCTAAATTCGTTTGACAATATCTTGAGCCCGTTTCTTTTAGGATCAAATTTATGAAGTTCGAATCTGGTGGTAATTATGTTTTCGTCTTGTCAATCCTTATTGATTTAATGACTGAGATTTTTTTAAAATCAAGTCAGATTGATAATTTATTCCAAATTTTTGATTAAGCTGTTAACTATGTAGACAGATATTAACGTTTTTTCAAAATCCTTCATCATACACATTCCATTTTCGCAGTCTAGAGCAATATATAGAGTTAATATGAGTACCAGTCGAATGTTTACATTAAATTTAGTAAAGTCGAATCGGAGTCCGAGTTATCTATGATAAGTGGTTGGAAGCAATTAGCAAGAAGTCCTGAAACTATGTTTTGTGCTAGTTAAGACTTATCATCAAGGTGTGCCAACGATTTCCATGCGTGATATTCAATCTCATCTCTAAGCTCGTTAGATTTAGTGGTGTTAACATTCAGCTATTTGGGCCGTAACTAATCTGTGAAACTGAGTTGGTTATAAAAATCGTATTGTACTGTTAAACCACTCAGTTTAAAGTCATAGTACGAATCGATCTGTCGAATTCAGAAAACACCAAGAATAAGGGATCACAACATCGGCTTATACTCAATGATTAGTGATCATCAAGGGGACTTCGTGTTGAAAGCACTCCACTTTCCACTGTCTCGTCGCAGGTTCGAATTCCGTTATTCTTAATTCGGTTTGGATAACCATAAGTTGTCTACATGAATCTATTTTTGATAAATGATGTTCAAAAATAAACTATCAAGAAGGAAATAAACTATACACAGTACAAAAACATTTAAACCAATCAAAAATACGTTACAAGCAATCTTTCAGCCTTTCTCATTTCGGCCACAAATTGTTTGCCAATAATGAGTCATTTACAGTTGACCTTCCTCACATTAAATCTAACAAATATCACACGTTTAATCCTAAACAGAAATTAGCCAACGCTAAGAAGTACATAAAGATTGGAACAAAAACTGGATATTAAAAGTTTCATATTGATTCAATTAGTCACCAATTTTAACAATTTTCTAATATCAGAAGGGGTTTTGTGGAGATTGTAGTAATTTCAACAGTTGAGATCATTTTAAATTAACGATTAGCACCTAGCTTGATAGGAGTAGGGAATAATAGTGTGAATAAACTGATTTTATGATTCATTTATCGGGCATAGATCCGTGAACTCGTCTTCAAACCGTACTCTAAATATGAGAGATAGTGATATTATTTCTTTGTTTAAACGGAGGTGGGATTTTAATTTGGGACATAGTGCTTGAGATTTCTACGCTTTAGCTAAGGAGTCAACCCTCCACTAGAGTGTGTAATACATGGGAAAATACAAAAATACGTGATTGTAACACTTTATATGAATGCATATCGACACTAGTTGTCATTGTTCAACATCAGTACAGTGATTAATAGCTAATAACAGAAACCACAGAGGAACAGGAAATCGAATCAAGATATGCTAAGGATGGTGTTTGCAATAATAATGACACTAAGTACTGTGTTCATAGATTTCACCATTGGTGTCTTTTTTATCAGAAATTATTTTATTTTTACGGCTATGCTGTATTCTCATTATTTAACTTAAAATACATTCGATATGCATTTCTACAATTTAACTGTACCATTATATAGTATTTGTATGAAATGATAACTACTTTATACGTAATGGGTCGTATCATTCTACCTACCATACAATACCTTCACAAGTGTACATGGTGTCGTACTTAGCTCGCGTACTAATCCATCCGTAGCTACATGAGTACTGCTAGCCAAATTCCATCTAGTCAATAAAAATCAAGTTATCTTTCGTTTTTGTTGATTGAGCTGTATAAGGCCATGCTGACATACACATACATCAATCAGTCAGTCAACAACGTAGAACTTCGTACGTACATACATCAGTTCGGGTTGTCATATCACATTAGCACACAGATAAAACTGTCCATTCAAATCCCGTAGTGGTAGAGGTAGTAAAAGTATAAACAGTAATCGGATACATTAGGGTTTGAAGATGTTATTCAAGGAGTATAATCCAGTGAAATAAATTTGGAAAGAAAATAAGGGACATGAAGAGTTCAGAAGAATAGAATTTGGGAGAACACAAAGAGTGGATGCACCTGCACACACCATTGCAAACGATTTTGAGCCATTTCACTCAAGGTCTGTAACCATCGGTTGCATTTGTCTCACGGATCCCAACCACATAATTTACACCTACCAACATGGCTCAGTTCACTTGTCAGTGACTTCATGGATTTGTGCCATGTTTTGGTCTGGCCGCCTCTAGCTTTCTTCGAACCTACTCTTACACATACATATATGCTTAGGGAACTTATCGGCAAATAATAAAATTAACAGAACATTATATGAACGATAATAACTATATGTTAACATTGAGATTCCTGATACAAGTATCAGTTAGTCGGTTATAAGGAATGTAGAACCCGACACACATATACATCTAAGTTTTTACATTGCATCATAAATGAAATGATTTCACCAAGGATTTAGTTTTTGTATT